TTAAGGAATATGACTCTGAAAGTGAAAATATTTCAATATGAAGAAGACTTTATTTCATTAGCTGTAGGTAAAAAGCCTGGAGTAATGTTCTGTATCAAACTAGACATGAAGTGGTGTGTCATTCTCAAAGACCACCACACGAGGTCGCAGTTTCCAAAAATCTCAATCTAATCTTTATTTTTGTATGAAGGTATTTATTTATTTATTTAGACAGTTTTATCTAAAGGAACGTACAAATACAACAAATTGATTCATCTTAAGGGGGCAATAACATGAAAAGTGCTAACAATACAAAGTTTCAAACAAGAATGGCTAGAACAGGAAGTGGTTAAAGAAAACAAATAGTGTGTCATAAGAATAGAATCTCAGGGTCATATTAAATCGTTAAAGCTTTTCCCTTCTTTGGTCAAAATACTGAATATATCACCAAACAGTTGAGAACATGGTTCTTTATAACTCTGCATGGACTACAATTTAGATATCTGGCATGATTTGGACAAGAAGACTATTTGTTAGATTGAAGTCTGCCGAATATATCCTGAAACAGCATCTCTACTAAAGTTACTGGCCAAAATACAGTAACACCCCCCTAACAGCTTCAGTATTATTTTACATGGCCAAAGAGATGAGCTTGGATCAGAAATTAGGAAATACAGTACAATGTAAATAAACAAAAAGCAATAAAATGTCTCATCATTCTGGTCAGGTTTGTTAGTTTATTGGCATTCAGTTTCTCCATCAAACAGAGAAAGTGGATAAAGGAAGTTGCTTCCTTAAAAAGTTACAAATCAAGTTTGATCACAACTGCAAAGTGTGATTCACAAGAATTCCAAAATAACCCCACTTGACATTCCAGTGTCTATATTAAACACATTATATTATTATTATTATTATTAATTAGAACAGCATTTTCTTATTCATAAGAATATCATGTAGGCATGCAGGTTTCTATTAAAGACATTAAACCTGTATTAAAACTGTAATTAAATAAATTGAATTATTAATTAAAAAAAAGTTTTATACGTTCTCCAGCAGGTGGCAATATATCCCAATTTACTCTAAAAAAATAAGGCTAGTGCATATGATTGCACAGAGTTTATATAAAATATTAAAAGTTAAAAACAACCTTTGAAAGAAAAAAATATGGGACAATCAGGAACAAACCAAAAAAAGTTGTTTGGGCTTCAATACATTGAAGGCTTTGAGAAAGCGCATGCCTGGATTCTGCACAGAGGAATATCACTGGAATATATTCTAATTATGAAAAATAATGAGGTAGAGATGTTAATTAATAGCCTTTGGGCATACACCTGTGACTTTGAACATGAGAATGAGCTGCCCAATCAGCTTGGTCAGGCCTGCCAGATATACTGGCATTCCGTCTGAAGAACCGCTCTGGGTATCAAATGGAAATTCAGTACAATCATTTGCCTGTAGGATTTCAGTAAACCTTAGGCTAAAACCCTATTTTCTCTCTATCTCTCTCGCTCTCCCTTTTGTATCCATCGCTCTCTCGCATAAACAACTAGTTAAGAGATAAAAGAGACAACACATTTTGCATGATGACACCAGGGACTGTGTACAGCCTCTAGGAAACAACACCTCAACATGACTCTATTTGCATTGGCTCCGTAGTAGGGAAAAAAACAAGGCCAGCTCATTTGTTTCCCAGTGCTAGTATGAAAAAACTGACTTGATTCCGTGCAATCAAGGTACAACATTTGAATGGAAGACCGCTGATAATGACTTCTAAATCCAAACAATAGTTCCAGAAATAGCTTTTTGTTTTCTTAAATGTAACATGGTTACAGAAGCAAGACAGGTATGGCAGAAGGAAAGACATTCTGGTCTGACTGCATTCTGCAGTTTCGGGATGACTAGACAGGCTGAAGCAACTTGGAAACATTCCATCTTTAAAAAGTTCAGTCCTCACTGCTTTTCCTTTTAATTTACTTCTAATTATATAATGCATTACATATAAATATTACTCAACTACACCTCTCTAAATAATGTGTTATTTTATTTGACCTTTATATTTCAGATTAAATTTTGTTTTAATTTTAGACTCCATTTTATTTTGTTTTATTGTTCTACAGTAAGTTCTTTATCTTTAGCTTTGAGATGAATGACAATGAAAACAGCATGACAATCAAAAACACTTACTGTACTCACAAATTCTTTGACTATGAACTGAAGAACCTACAACAATCTTCACAATCTTAACGATTTAGAATGAACAGGATTCTAGAACCTTCCTAAACAAGATATGGCTTCATTTACATGTTTACAATGAATGCTGTCTTTTTTGACAGTCCTGATTCTAATCATTAGCAGTCGCACCTGCTGGGCTTCACAGAAAGCTCAGATGATTGCCACAGAATAAGAATGACTGTCATTAATAAAGTTCCTCTTATGTGCGTGTTAAATTTTGACTCATTTAATTATACTGTCAGATATCATTTAAAGAATACATCTCTTAGCTCTCAACAGATATCCTACCTTCCCAAAATCAGCACACACAAAAAAAACACAAAAACATTAGTTTCTCTCTGAACATTAGAAATCATTAAAATAACATTACTGGGGGGGAGGGGCACATTTTCATCTGATATACTTTACACTAAGAATGTAGATATGCAAGATCCTGAGCCAACTGTCATGCATATGCACAAACACTATGGACAAAATAATATTTTTTTATTTTGTCCATAGCTGACAGCTGACATTTACAAGCCACCACAGGTTTCCTAGATCAGCACCATGTTCAGTGTCAATAATTTCAAAAACTAATAAACACAAATAGCCTATGCATCAGATTATATAGAAGCATTCAAAAGTTTGGGGTCAGTAAGATTTTTTTTAATCTCTTATGCTCACCAAGGTTGCTTTTAGACTGTATTTTACTTCAAAATTACAGTTAAAACAGTTATGGTGACATGTTATTACAATTAATACAATTATATGTTATCTATTTTAATATATATATATATTAAATTGTAATTTATTCCTGTGATGGCAAAGCTGAATTTTCAGCATCATTACTCCAGTCTTCAGTGTCACACGATCCTTCAGAAATCATTCTAATATGCTGATTTGGTTCTCAAGAAGCGTTTCTTATTATTATCAATGTTGAACATAGTGTTACATTTTTTGCAGGATATTTCAGGATGAGAATAGAAAATTCAAAGAACAGAATTTATTTGAAACAGAAAGCTTTTGTAACATAATAAATGTCTTTACTGTCACTTTTGATCAATTTAATGCATTATGATTACAAATATTTATATATTTTATTAAAAAAAACTGACCTTACTGACCCAAAACATTTGAATAGTATGATAAAATGTTAGTCTAGCCCATGTTTTTATACTGTTTAAGTAATTATGGAAAACGTAACATAATAAATGTCTTTACTGTCACTTTTGATCAATTTAATGCATTATGATTACAAATATTTATTTATTTTATTAAAAAAAACTGACCTTACTGACCCAAACTGATCTTACTGACCCAAAACATTTGAATAGTATGATAAAATGTTAGTCTAGCCCATGTTTTTATACTGTTTAAGCAATTATGGAAAATTGTGACACTTTTCATGGTACTGTAGTCCTAAGATGAATCATGTTTGTTGCAGCATTCCTTATATGTAAATCACTTTGCATAAAAGTGAGTAATATAAAGTTTCTCAGAAAGGAAATGAAGAAAGACAATAAAGGCAGTGATGTTATCCAATCTTCCAAAACCAGGCTGATCCACAAGAAAAAAAATGTGATTCAATGCCACATACTACACCTTGAATGGTCTATACTAAAACAAGTTCAACAAGACTTTTAGGACTTATATGAAGAACTCAATGGTCCGTAGGAAGATGAAACAAAAATGGAAAAGCTAATCAAAAGGCATGGCACCATTCAGTGTGATGCAACCTGTCGCTGTTCTGTGTAGGCTCCCAGAGCCAAGACTCAAATCTATACTGATACACTTTCAAGACTAAATAGACCATCAGCAGCTTTTGGGAGAACAACATCAAGCTGCATGTAAAAAATATATTAAATTTTTAAGAGCCAGTTAAAATGCAAATTAAGTTGTCAAGCTGAATTTTCAGCATCATTACTCCAGTCTTCAGTGTCACACGATCCTTCAGAAATCATTCTAATATGCTGATTTGGTTCTCAAGAAGCGTTTCTTATTATTATCAATGTTGAACATAGTGTTACATTTTTTGCAGGATATTTCAGGATGAGAATAGAAAATTCAAAGAACAGAATTTATTTGAAACAGAAAGCTTTTGTAACATAATAAATGTCTTTACTGTCACTTTTGATCAATTTAATGCATTATGATTACAAATATTTATATATTTTATTAAAAAAAACTGACCTTACTGACCCAAAACATTTGAATAGTATGATAAAATGTTAGTCTAGCCCATGTTTTTATACTGTTTAAGTAATTATGGAAAACTGTGACACTTTTCATGGTACTGTAGTCCTAAGATGAATCATGTTTGTTGCAGCATTCCTTATATGTAAATCACTTTGCATAAAAGTGAGTAATATAAAGTTTCTCAGAAAGGAAATGAAGAAAGACAATAAAGGCAGTGATGTTATCCAATCTTCCAAAACCAGGCTGATCCACAAGAAAAAAAATGTGATTCAATGCCACATACTACACCTTGAATGGTCTATACTAAAACAAGTTCAACAAGACTTTTAGGACTTATATGAAGAACTCAATGGTCCGTAGGAAGATTAAACAATATACAGTTATACAGTTTCAAGGCCAATCTATAAAACGATTTCTAAATTACGATTTTTTAATCATGCATAGTGCTGAATAAGATGTTATGATCTACTAATAGCAATACTCATTCATTTTTAAATACAAGAATGTAGCCTTGAATTGGACAAATAAAGTCAATGCAATGCCTAGAGTAAACCATACCACCCAGCATCATTCTAGTTTAATCATCTGTATTATTAGTCAGAGGTCAATACCTGAGCGGTCTCTGATAACCAGGCTTCTGCCTTCCTTTAGGTTGATGGTGAGGAGGTACTGGACCTTCTGCTGTGCTGAAGCACCTTGATTTTGACTGTCATTTAATCCTGCTGGGATCTGAAAAGTAGAGAGCAAAAGACTTTGTTAATGTTGGATGCTAATTATCATTCTGAGTATTCTGGAGTGAAGTATTTGAAGAAATAATACACTGTGTTTTTTTTTCTTCTGTCTTCAAGACAGCACTTTTTCTTAAAAAAAGAGTATTAAAATACTCACGTTTCGTTCTTGTTCTGGAAGCATATCATAATCACTGGTTTCATTGGGAATATCCTGAGGAAGAGATTAAGATGTATCAAATTAAATGAGAAAGTTTTGCATTACTCTGAATCTGCTATACTCAAATTCAGGCCAGAACAGTAATGCGTAATGTTTGTCATCTATCAATCAAGCATTATTGGCTATAGATGGTAAATTCAGAATTTGGATTCAGAAATCTCCAATATAATGCATACTGTACAGGTATGTTATCTTATCTGCACAGAAACTTACAGAAGACAATATAACCACACATATTATAACTTCCACCTGGCACCATTTCATTCAAAAAGCACACCACTAGAGTATTAGGTATTTTTATATTCATACAGAAAGTTTGGGCTCAGTAAGATTTATTCATGTTTTTGAAAGAAGTCTCTTATGCTCACCAAGGCTCATCGATTTGGTCAAAGTCAAGTTCAATGGCATTTTATTTGTATAGCACCTCAAAACAGCATGAATGCTGAAGGCAAATGAACAATAAAATATTAAAATTAAAACCCACAATGGCCAACGAAATTAACTAATAAAACATGGCCTGAAGTAAGCTAACAGCCTAGTTGCTGCTTTTTGAATTATGGTGCAGGCTGACGGTTTGTTAATGTAATTGATGATATTCAGAGAGTTAAACGACTTGGCACAAGCTGATTGGTTCATGCTGCATATGCAGTCAATGAGCTTACTGCCTTGCATTTATATGGCTGGCTAGCATTCACTAGAGATTCCTGCAGTGCGCTTTCAGAGTTTATCTGAAACCCTCCACCTTCCCCAGCTCCACCTGTATAGATCTGCTACGGGTTATTTTATATGCTATTTGTGCAGCAGCAGTATGTCTTAAATACTCACGGCACCGTATCGCCGTATGCATTGGCAGTAGCAAGTTCCTGTACTTGCTTGCAGCAGCAGCAATAATCTACAACTACAGCAATAACCAACAGCAGCAGCAATTCAGCAGCAGTGTAGCAGATCTATTCCGCCAAGACCAAATACATTAACATTGTCACATCCATCACCATGCTAAAATCTTCAGAGAGTTGTCATGATTGAGATATATATATATATATATATTGCTGAGCCCAAACTTTTGAATGGTAGTGCATATTTATGTAGTGATAATACTTAGAAAACTCTGTGATGACTTGCCATGTCCTCAGCTGACCCTGCAATGAACATGTCCAATGGAGAGAATGGCTCGTGCTCAGTAGGACATGAAATGCAGGTTTTCTCTTCAGGTGGAGTAGTGCTGACTGACTCTGTGATGGTCAGTGTAGACATTTCGTCTGCAGCTCGTGCAGGAGGCGTCTGTCTTCCTGCACCGGCTCTACTAAGGGCTGCAGCCACTTTGTCTGAGGGGTCCTTTGGTCTCTGACCAGGTGATTTTCTTTCTGCAGGCACAGGTGTCATCTGTCTTTCTGTATGTGAATGTACAGGTCCAGTCACTGCATCTAAATCATCTATGTACCATGTGGTGGCTCTTTGCCGCTTATCAGTTTCCACTGCAACTGGAAAGTCAACAGGAACTGTTCTCTCTGATGGCGCGGGGCTGCAGGAGTATGGCATGTCTGCGACACTTAACTGCTCAGATAAGGCAGTACTGGATGTTTCACTTGCTGTTTCATCCAAGTCACATGAACCCTCCACGTTTCCAAAGAAGCAGGAGTCTTGACCTGGTGTCCTGGAATCATCCTGCAAAGCCATCATGGCACTGGGATTAATCCTGATGTCTGGTACCGACATACTCCTTCTGTATTTCAGAGGGGTCTTTTTCTTCTTCCCCAAACCCTTCTTTCCGATCTTCAGATTTAAGATGGGCTTGGCTCTCTCACGGAGATTGGGCCAGATTTTCTTCTTTTGCTCCATCGTGATTGCAGATGAGATTGCACTTCAGCTGGAATTAAAACAACTGTCAGACAAAAGACAAGCAAAGATAGTTTGATAGAAAAAAAAAACATAAGTATCAATTTATGAAAAAATAGTTTAAACAATCAAAAACAATGTGAACTTACACTACTGTTTAAAAGTTTGGGGAAAGTATTTTTTAAAGAAATTAATACTATTATTCAACAAAGACATTACATTGGTCAAAAATGACATTAAAGACAATTATAATGCTACAAACGATTCCTATGTCAAGTTCTTTTGAACTTGCTATTCAAGAACACAGAAGGTATCTTGTTTTCCACAAAAAAAGAAAAATTAAGCAGCAGCTTTTTTCAACATTGATAATAATAAGAAATTTTTTTTGAGCACCATATCAACATCAATCATGATTTCTGAAGGATCATGTGACACTGAAGGAAACCTTCATTTTTAGCTTTTTAGCATTCAACCAGATGCTGTACAGTATGTAATGAGTGATCAATCTTGCTCCTCGAGGGCCAACGTCCTGCAGTTTGGCTCCAACTTGCCCCAACACAAGTTGAGTAAGTTCTGGTAAACCTGAAGACCTTGAAGAGCTGGTTCAGGTGTGTTTAAATGGGATTGTAGCTAAATTCTGCAGGTTAATGGCCCTCCAGGAGCAGGACCGGTCATCTCTGCTGTATGTGATGCTTTTTATATGAAACTGCCAAAAACACAGATAATGTCGAGCATTTACACTTTGACATGAAACAGTGCGTGTAGAGCACAATGGCCACATGCATCAACTGCAAAGTATGCAGAAAATGTGCTGATTACGTTGTCACATCACAGACCATGAGGCCGTTTGTGATGGAACTGTGAAGTTTCTCAAAAAATGGTCACGCTGCTAAACTTTGTTTTCCACAGAGCTGAAAAAAAGAAACTAAATGTACTATAAATAACAAATGAGTGTTTATACTAATTTGTTTTATAAGTGTGAACATAGACTAAATCTGAAGACTATCAGCTGACAATGCTGACAACTATGACATGCTTTCCATGTATAGATCATCACACACAGAATTGATTTTAGTGATGTTCAGAAGTTTATTTTAGTGATGGTCTGCGTACTGAGTTAAGTTTTTCCTTAATTAAGTCAAAGCATCTAGTCAAAAATGTGCTTGAGTAGTTTCTGCTACTTTTTTAATATTCCAAAATAAAGTAAACATTTATTAACTTTTAAAATTGATCAAATCAAGAGATGGAGGACATGTTTTTATTAAAGTAAGTTTCATGCACACACTTTGTAAAGCAATCCATTACATCTTGTCCTCAGGAAGTAATAGCTTTGCCTGAAATAAATCAGCAGCAGCAGATTCAGCAAGAAGTGTATTGTGATTTTAGTCAGTAAAATGGACAAAACAAATAGAAGTATACAAGTCATGATGGGCAAAAATTTATTTATATTTCACATGAAACTGAGGTAACAAGAAATATTAAAGCTTTTTGACAAGAGGTATTAAAGATTTTGTGTGAGTGTGTGTGTGCCTTAGAAATGTAACAGTAAAAGAACAAGTGTTCAGTTTCAATCTTACTTTTAGTACAAAGAGTATTTCCAAAAAGAGAATTTCCAAAATTCAAAAATAGCATTTCAGAGGAAAGCATAGGCCTACCAGACTTTTAACACTACATTCATTGTCTTATCAATAATAATCCAAAGGGGGGGATTATAATATATATTAAATAATATACTTTTAATTTATATATTAAATATATATAAATATATGTATATACACAACATGTATGACTTTGTACCATATACTGCTACTACTAATTAACTGTTGAAGAGGTTTGGTGTGTACATTATTTAAGGAGGTGTGTTGGACAGGTTTCTGCATTATTTTTGTTGGTGTGATGTTCGGCAGCTCAAAGGATTAGGACATTTCGCTTTAACAGAGTTTATCATACTAACCCATATACAAACTTACAGCAAAATAAAGCAATTACTTTACTACTAGCCATTACTACTATCATTTAGTTAAAAATTCAGAAAAGATTGCACAGTAGATCAATAGATCAGTAATTTATTCTGTTTTTACAGTTGTAACAACATCTGTAACTGAAATATTTTGGCAGGAATTATGTTACTATTAAAGTATTGACAACAAGAGAGTTCAGACTCTTACCTTTTTCCAGATAAATCACTGGACGTGTTTTCCTTTAGAAGACCTGACTGACAACAACAGAGAACTTTCACATCCACCTGGAAGTGGCAGTTGTGATGTCTGTGGAGAGCTTTCTGCTTGGACCGGTTTGTCTCTGTTCTAGGGTGGGGTGATGAAGTTTTGAAATAGTTACCGGAGTTTCGGTAGTTCGAATGCACTGTAGCGTTAAATGCTTTGTGTTTACATTCTTTCTAGATGCTTTAAAATGTTAGTGAACACCCCTAAATTGATATATAGTATGGTTGGTTGTGACTTTGACTTAAAATATCGTATCTGATGTAACTCGTTCCTTCCAGTATTTCATGGAACTACACCCGCAGCGTTTGCATGGTGCAGATACTGTCCACTCATTTGTTTGGCCAGCGTGCAAACTTAGTGCCACCTGCTGGCCGCTTTTCATATTGCATGTCTGTGGATCAATGACGTAACGCTTATATTTTGACTACTTATTATTTCAAACTACTTCTTATTGAATCAAACATTAAATGCTAAACCAAAAAATCAAGAAAATGCACATCTTATATGTTTAGCATTTTTCTTTTTTCTCTCCTTTCTTTCTCTTTATTTATTTTTCTTCTTTCTTTCTTGGTTTTATTAATAATACTCTTTCCATTTTCCTAGTGAATCGATTTTGTTATAATAATATAATATTTGTATTTAATAGTATGATATTTGAAGAATTTGTCTTTCATGTAACAGGACAACCATACATGTATTCCCAGGATAGATAGATAGATAGATAGATAGATAGAACATAATTTGATCAGTTTGTTCATAAACTGCATAAACCTTAAGAAAACATACTGACATAAAAAGTATTCATCTATACAAGTTTATTTCTTTATTTAGAAAATCAAGTTAGCACACGTTTAAACTAGGTTTTTAAAGAGTTACATAAGAGCTATTATTATTATTATTATTCAGCTTGGGCCTTTTTATCTGTCACTGACCCACACGTAAACCTACAGAATGTTGTTTTAGGCTATTCCTATAAACTTAAAGAGCTATTCCATGACTTCATAAGTGTATGAAAATGACTGTTTTTGCATGTCAATTTCCTGGTCTATATGTTTAATAAACCCTTAAACTAGATCATGGGTAAAATATAAGCAACATCTACATTCTGAAGTTCCATGTGCACTGACTATGTGTTTCTCAGAGATGCAGTATGAAGGCACATAGAGTGAGTATTTGAGGGTACAATGAGGTTTTTAATAAAGCGGACAGATTCTAATGTTTGGGACTTCACATGTGGACAAAGTCTACTCAAATTCAGAGAACTGGTCACTTCAGTTTGCACAGAATAAGCGAGAGAACCTATGTTACACAATAAAAGCCAATATCTTTACTTTAGTGAATGCAGAATACAAATTTGTACAACAATCTCTAGCATAATATCTTAGTCATTCAATAAAAAGTTCACTAGAATATTTATTGTATAATAAAGATAAAACAACACATTCATGGGAAATATAATGCAGATTAACTTAAAGTTCTCTCTCATGTTTGACTCATTTTTTTTTTGTTGTCTTTTTTCCTTTTTGAAACATCTTGTTTCAGTTATGGCAACAAAGTCCAGCTTGTGCCGCCAAACGGTTTGAGCATCCAAACCGCAAACAGCTTCTTGAAGTGAACTAGTAACTACAAACAATTACCAAATACATAATTCTGATTTAGAAAAAGCCATAAAGCAAAGCAGTGTACTCTTGCACAGCAAAGTGAAGAAAGTACGCAACAAACAATTGTTGTCTCCTCTTTATCCCTTCCTTTCACATTCAACAGTTTGTGACACAGCACTCCGCACCAAAGGAACAGCCTCCTCTCTTCAGATCTCTTATGTAGTTCTCATGTGCATTTATAGGGACCCCTGATGTGAGGGTGATTTTGTTTTGATGAAGTCAAAATGTGATGAGTGATATCATATTTGATTCCGAACACCAGCAACTCTTTGGAATAAGGCTCTAATTGTGCATGTAGCTAAGAAACTCCCTGATTCCTAATCAAGCACTAATGTTGAGTGTTTGTGTGTGCATTCATTGCAGTTTGGAAATCCTGCATGTTTTTAGTCCACAGTGCTTTCATAACACTGGGCTGGCATTATTGCTTGTCTACCCTGAAAAGCTTTGATTGATGATCAACTTTAAATGATTTTGACAGACATCATAAAACTTTCTAATGGGTGTTTCAATTCCGCTGAGACAACAAAGCTTGTACATCTGAGATTAAATCTAAAGCTATACCTAAAGCAGTGTTTGCATGGCTCTTGTGGTTTTCATATTTAGTCAGTGTGCCTTTATACTTAACCGTAAAAGGATAGTTCACCTAAAAATTAGAATTTGATCATCATTTTGTTTAAAACCAGTTTTAATGAATGTTTCATTCAGCGAACATCAATGTGGTCCAATGTTGTTTCTATTCAGTTCCAAAAAAATCAAATAAAGTCATACAAGTTTGGAACGACTGAGTAAATATTGACATAATTTTCATTTTTGGGTGAGCTATCACTTTAATATGCAAGCACTTAAGGACAAAGGGTTAACAGTCGTTTTCTCACCTGCTCAATAAAGAGCACTTCATTTATGAACTAGGCAACATTGTGTAATTGATGGACATGTGATAGTATAATATGCATGATTCATTTTTTCTCTCTTAATTAAATTTGTTTTTTATTATCATTAAAGGGTTAGTTCACCCAAAAATGAAAATGAAATATCTGTCATCATTTATTCAGCCCTAAGTTATTCCTGTATAAATGTCTTTCTTCTGTTAAACTTAAAATATTTTGAAGAATGTGGGTAACCAAGCAGTTAATAGCCCCACTGACTTCCATAGTATGGAAAATAAATAGCAATGTTGACCATCAACTGTTTGGTTACACACATTCTTCAAAATGTATTTGTGTTCAGCAGATGAAAGTAATTAATACAGGTTTAGAACTTGAAAGTGTGTAAATGACAGAATTCTCATATTTGGGTGAACTATCCCTTTAAAAATTCCACTTTTAATGTGAATGCTTTGTGTTCCTGGCTATGTGTGGGTTGGGGACTGCATAGATTAATATCAGCTTATTGCCAGTTGCTGTGGTGCTCAAGAGGGCAGGGAGGTATGTGCACACTGACCGAATACATAACAAATCTAAAGAGGAAAGCGTCCAATAGCAAACTTGAACATACAAACTTTTTGTGCAATCCAGTAGAGAGATCATGTCCAAGTCAGTTTGCATTGTCTAGTATTTCCATCTTTAGCTGCTGAATCCCCTGATGCTTTGCCACCTGAAGGGCAGTGAGGTGTGATGCAAGCCGGAGGCCACTGCTACCAGACGTTTGTGCCACGCAAACAAACAGCCACACATGAAGAGATATGCACACAAAGAGCAAAATGCGACGGCGGAGAGAGCTACAGCACCCCCTCTTGTCCAGCAATACAGAACATTGCGATTGGTGCCTCCTTAAGGTGTCTACTTTACATTAGGAAATCTGTAGATGAGCCGATTCACAAAAAAACTGGAAAGGTATTCTGTTACATAGTATGCATGTATGTATTAGGGTTACCTTAAAGTTATGGTATTTACAATATATGAAGGATTTGGTTGAAATGAATTTAGGGTTGGAAAGAAATGAGCTTTTTATACAAACTGGGGGAATGTCTGTAAAGAGAAATGTGTCTTCTACTGGATATCAATGAATAGTGCATCTAAGCCGTGATGGGTTAAAGTAGGCAGTGTATTCAGCAGCTGCAGGCTAATCCCTCACAAAACAGTTGTAAGAAATGCAACCATATTTGTTTCTTAGCACGACCAGAATCGTTACAAAACAAAATAAAGACAGCTGAGCTTGAATCATACAGCTCTGTTGTTACAATTTCTTATGGACAGACATTCACCACCATTAAAGGGTAAACGACCCAAAAATGACCTTCTTGGAAAAGAAAGAAAAATAAAAAACACTTTGATTATTACCAATAATAGTCAGATTTGAAGAAAGTACAGTATAGTTAACAAAATAGTAAATATTAACCAGTGAATACTCTACTTAATAAGGATCTCGCCTTGTAAACTTGGCAGTAATCCACAAAAATATACTTTTTTCTTGAATCTGGTGAAGGTACAATACATACGTACTTACACCAAAAGTGATATATATTAAAGTTGCTATGTACATAACAAAAGAAAAAGGTTTGGCTCAAATCTTTAATTTACAAACAGAACAGCAAGTGTTCATGGCTTTAGATATCGTTTCAAGATCTGCTTTGCATGTTAATCGTTTTCCAATGCTTGTAACAACGCACACTATGACAGAACTAATATGAAACAAACATCGAGAGAGAAATGCTGAAAATTCCCAACCTACAGTACGACAAAATTACATAGAGGCTTTGGCTTGCGTTACCATTGAGTTGTTGGAGCTGCATGAATGTAAAATGACTTGCTATCGTCTCTAAGTTGACTGGGCTACCTGTTCTTTTCCCATTTGTTCAAAACGCAAATAAAAAGGACTGAAAATGTAATCAACGACTATTATTAATTTAGAGACATTTTCATTTCTTTCACTTAATGTCTTAACTGAGGTGAAATGTGATCTCATTTTAGATACAAGCCATCCCTCGTAAAACTGATCCAAATCTATCATCAAATACCTTAAAATAAATTAATATGTGACATACTTCATATAAGGGCGAGTGCAGATACAGATTGTTTAATACATGAGCCCAGCAGGCAGGAGCCTTCAGAAAGAAAGCCGCCCCTAAACTTTCTTTGATTGTTTGCAAATTCAACAGCGAAAACAGCTACAAGTGTCAAACTGCACCAGTGATGACAAAAATCGAAAATGTTTTCTTCATACATTGGACTCTCGCACAATGCAATTTGCATCAAGTACCTGATAACACCTGTTTGTTTTTTTTCTTGTTTTTTGTTTTGTTTTTGAGTACACCATTCATTCTGACTGCTTGACTTTTTGATTTTCCCTCTCTCCACTCATCTGCTTAATTTCGATATGCCAGGACATTTTCAATTTCTTTCCCCATCCACCTACTTACAAAAAAAGTGAAATGACGTTAAATTATAACAATAGAATAATAACAATAATGACCCTCCCTGCTGTCACTCCTCTCTCCCTTTCCCCCTGCCCAGCCCTGCGTGTGACTGACTGACTGGCTGTCAGGCTCCGGACAGCTTTATGTCACCCAGGTGTCCATGCGCATGCGCTTGACCGTGGGGCTCTCCCTCTCTTCGGCCCCAGAGGCCGGGGGTCGACCCAGGCCGAGTGGGGAGTGGAAATCATGCCGGTGATCCTCTCGGTCGCTTCCGTCGTACGAGGAGCAAGAGGAGCTGAGGCTGTCGACAGGTGAACGGCCCATGTCTGGACGGCCGGAGGGAGGCTGC